TGTCAGGTTTTTTCATACACCTGAAAGGAAATTAACAAAAACATTTTGAAATCTTCCAAAAACATCTGAGAAAACACTGAAAATCAACAAAAATTCGAATTACGCGCGCTTTTACCGGCAGTTGGCCTAGAAAACTCACACCTGGCCGCTAGGCCACCAGATATAACTTTGACTTTTCGATGCCGTTTTTCTCAATGAAGGAACATTTTTTTGAATTTTTTTTCGTTATTTTTATGGGAAACTACTTGGATTTCTGCACAAAATAAAGCAATAAAATTTTTCACCGCACACCACCTTTAATTCCGCCTGATTCTTCTCGAAACGACTATGGCACCGAAATGGGGATAAGAGCTTTCTAATGAAATAAAAGAACATTGAATTCCACCATGTAGAACTCCGGACTTATCCATAAAACCAAAAATTCTCTCAAAAGTAGCAAAATTCGTGAGATGAATTTTCAGAACCCATTTTCTGATCGTGAAACTTTCAGAAACCGTTCTTCTTTGCTTTAAAACTAAAAACAATTTTTTGACTGATTTTTGATACTTCTAAAAAATTTCTCATGAAAATTATCACCGGAATATCAAAAAATCCGGGGGTCTTAAAGATATTGACCGCTTGCATATCGGTTTTTTGAATGGTACATGGTCAGGGAAAGTGCTAACTTCATGAAACTTTGTCTCTAGAGGTTATTTTTGATTGTGAATTGAATGTCGTTTACAGTTTTTCAATATCTATTCTAGTTTTTTCTGTGCACCCAAAATCAAGGGGGGGGGGGCTTAAAGATATTGACCGCACTGTTTTTAGCATTGGGTTTCTTCATTAGGATCCCCGTTATTTTACCTCCTCTCTGTCCACTTCTTTCGTAATTGGATCCAAAATTTTTGTTCCTTTCGTTTCCAGACATCCATTTGTCCTTTACCGCTTTGATATCATCATCAGTGAACATTTTCACAGGACCTGAATGAACAAGTAATTCACAGTGTGAAGATGTTAGAAAACTTACGATCGCCTTCATCATCTGCTCTGAAGTAAAATGGAGAATCTTTCATATTTGATACAACTATTTCAGAAAATTTGGACATCTGCACAAACTTTTTCAGAGTTGATCGGTTCGTGTATTGGTTGAACCATTTTGTGTTCCATTCCATCGTCGAATCGAGTTCCAGTTGTTTGGAGTACTTCTCAAAAACATGCGCATGTTTTTTCCCTTTTGCCATTTCATTGAAAGCAAACATGATGTTTTGATAAGGAACTTTGCGTTGACGAAGTTCGTCTCGGACAATTTGCAGCAATTCAACAATCATGTTGAACGTTTGATGAGCCCTGATCTCTTTTTCCATGCTTGGGAACACCTGAGCTTCTTTTTTCTTGGTTTCTTCTTTACTTGCACTGGAAAAGAAATGGGTCATGAAGAATGGTGTTCCATGACTTACAGTAATTCAGATCCTTCAATCAACGATGTAATAAACTCCTTCTCTGATTCTGGAAAAATCGGAAGAAACTTATCTCCGTTTCTGGTCAACCAGTTTTTATTCGCTAATGCGATTGCGTACTCAGTCTGAAAAGGTGAAAAACTTGATGCGTTAATTATTACCAAAAAAAACTGCACCTTTGAATCGTTCGGTAATCCATCAGTGATATGGGATCCCAGAAGAATCGTGGCCACGACCGGCAAGGTGAATCCCATATTTTCCCGAAGACATTTATCCAGTTCTTCAGGATCGTATCCTTCTTTCAGTCTGAGAGGATGGGCAGCCAGAGTGGAAGTAAAGAAGATCTGTAAAGCTTTGTAGAACAATTTCAGTATACATTTTCGTTACCGGAAGAAGTTCTCGAGGGTCTCCTCCAAAATCGTTCATATCCGCGTAGTTTTGAGCTCCATTTCCCACAAGATCGTCTGGCATTGCTGGGAGTGGTTCCGTCTGAAAAAATTTATCTTCAATAGCCGTATTACTTATACTAATATCAATTTTTAAAATCTATTATTGTTGTCTGAAAAAAAAGGTTAGAGAGTATTTTTTGCAGTCTGAATACGGTAGGAATGTCGAAGCGGCGAGCCTAAATAGCACATGTTATGTAGAACTGCAGACATTTTTCTCTGCGTCTCAATTTTTTTTTCTCAAACAGCGACACGGGGTTGCAACGGCAAATACTCAGTTGCTACAGGATCAGTTTATTCCTGACCAGTTGCTACTTTTGTCTCAGTTGCTATTTTCCCAGTTGCTATGACTCAGTTGCTACTTTTGGCTCAATTGCTCGCATTTTCCGAAATTTCAAAATCTCAGTTGCTACAAAATATCTCAGTTGCTACAAAAAAACTCAGTTGCTACAATTGACTCAATTGCTACTTTTTTCTCAAATGCTACAAAAAAAAGAAAATTTTTGTCCACTGTCGTTTTAATACTACTTTTCTCGGGACCTGCCGAGTCTTTATTTTCAAAATTTCTCCTTATCTGCATCGTGTTTTTAGCATACATGTGGATGGCCGGGCCGGGCCGGCCCGCTTGCTTCAAAACCCTCGGCCCGCCTAGGACAACTCTTCGAAAATGTTACTTTTCAAATGTGCCAATATATTTTTAATAGCACAATTATCTTCGTATTTTTTTCAGAGCACCCAAGTGACAACTACTGCCTACCATGCCTACATCATGATTCAACGCAAATCTAAGAGACAATCTTTTTTCTCTTTTTTGTTATTCTGTTTATTATTTTCCTTTCTTCTGTTAGATATTGGTTTATAAAAATAAATAAAGTTTCTAAAATGATTTCGACAGAAGTTTCAGTTTTTTTAGAGCCTATGGTCAGATTTCGTATGAGCTACGCGAATCTTGAGCGTAGGCTTGGCGTTTTTAGAGCGGTCGCTGGGCGGCTTCTACAGAAAACTAAAGCGACATCCGCCCTGCCACAGCTTAGAAGCCGCCTAAATCCAGCCTAAAAGTTGCGGGCAACAGCCGAAATTCTACCGAAACGGTGCACAACGCTTAATGTCAATCTGCGTACAGCTGTCGTCCTCACCCTTATCTTTACCATCGGGCACCCGCAACCCTCACCGCCACAAGGTCAACTCCTCGTGGAGCACATATATACCGAATTTGGAAAAAATTGTTTTTTTCATGTCCCCCACCTTTAAAGATTTTTTGACGAAAAATACATACCGTATAGTCATAACCGTCTACATCAAACGGCTCACTTCCACTATCATATGAGTCTTCTAATTCATTTTCAGAATCCTGTTCTTCATTTGAATCAAAGTCGCTGATTGGCGGCGCTCCAAGACAATGATTCTGAATATCGTCGGCGTCTCCTTGTTCGGAAGTGGTGATATCGAAATCATCGGGATAATCATCCTCTTGTGATGTCATTACCTGTGAAACTGGTTATTATTTCGATTCGAAAAAAAGAAGGACATTTATGAGAAAACGGGATGGAAAATAAGAAAAATGTGCTCATTTCTATTGCTAACAGTAAAAACAAAAACGGAAGTGGTGAAAAAAGTTCTGCAGCGTTGTGCAAAGGAGCGCATTTGCACCAGAGATGTACGGACAGCGAGACCCCGCAAATTCCGGGGAAAGAAAAAATCGGGAAAAAAACCGGAGAAAAAACACCGGGGAAAG